TCTAGCCTTACGTTCAAAGTTACAGCAAACAGAGGTAAACACCCCAGTAAAAGGTACATTTACAAGTTGAGAAAACAAAGATAAAACTACCACGCCTTGCCTGGCTGTGCTTACAAGTTTGAAATATGAGAGACTTGTTCAGAAAGATTTGGAGAGCCTGGATTGATGTCTGGTCCCTCTCAGTCCCAAGAGCGAACTCTCCCCAAAAACAAAGAGCGCAAACAAAAGCCTTCCCCTCACCAAGATTTGAAAAAAGAACAGGAGTACTTGTGGCACCTTAGAGACTAACAAATTTATTAGAGCTCTAATAAATTTGTTAGCCTCTAAGGTGCCACAAGTACTCCTGTTCTTTTTGCGGATACAGACTAACACGGCTGCTACTCTGAAACCTGTCAAGATTTGAAAGTATCTTGTCCCCTTATTAGTCCTTTGGGTCAGGTGTCTGCCAGGTTACCTGAGCTTCTTAACTCTTTACAGGTAAAAGGATTTTGGAGTCTCTGGCCAGGAGGGATTTTATAGTATTGTACACAGGAGGGCTGTTACCCTTCCCTTTATAGTTATGACAGGCTCATTACAACGTTTTGTAACACACCCCACTGGCTGCTAACCCTTAACTGCCCGCTTCATTTTAAGTGGTCTCCTATAGCATAGGTGAACCCTTTACACTTAACAATGTGTCCCCTCTTATATTTAGCTTAGCTGCTCTGGTGCCTTCCCCAGTCCCGAAGAAGAGCTCTGTGAACCTTGTAAGCTTATCCCTTCTACCAACAGAAGTTGGCCCAATAAAAGATATATATTACTTCACCTACCTTGTCTCTCTAAAGAAATAGTGCCTAGCTATATAATTATTGGCTCCACTGCCATTTCCATTATAAACTTCTTTACCAAAGCATTCATATTGCAGCCTTAAAATTTTGCTTCCAGGCCAAAACATGGTACAGGTGGTATGGAGCTACATTGAGTACTTGGATAGAGGCAATAAATGAAGTATTTTTGGCATCTTTGTCTTGAACTGAACAAATAGGCTTTTAAAATTTGCCCAGAACATGTCTGACCTGATCTGTCTGGACCAGGGAAATGTTTGGATTTCACAGTTCCCTTGCATTCCTGCGAAGAACTATGCTAACGTTCTGAGGACGTAGGGTAACAGCTACAAACAGATACTGTGCCAGACTCGTTCTGTGCATTGTGCAATGAGGCCTTGATCCTGACTGGGGCCTCTAACAGAAGTAGTAAAAATCATACTCTAGAGATTCTCTTGCCACCTGCAATATTTG